AATGCTTTACAAACATTCAGAGATGAACTTACACACTTGCTTTACTTCTCTCTGGGATCACTTCCTCGGAGATGAAATGCTGGTTTGGTAGCGAGGCTACAAATACACACAGCCGCTCTATCACGTGAGCACACTGCTCCGACGTGCTACGGTTATGAGCAGAGTTACGTCATGTCGCAAGTTTTGTGAGGCGCTTTTTTGATATTTAATGGATCGGATTACATTTTTTATTTCTCTCCGATATCCGATCCAGTAATTTAGGTCAGTATCGGACCGATACGTAATATCGGATCAGTCCATCTCTAGTCTGAACTGTGGGACTGTTTACTCAGGGGTAATGTTCTGTACGGCAAAGGACAATGACTGCTTATTGTGTGTTCAGTCTACTGCTCAGCTACCTTCAGTGCGCCCCAGGGTGGCTGTGGTTACAACGTAGCTTGCCATCACCAGTGTGTGAATGTGTGCGTGAATGGGTGGATGACTGATTGTGTAAAGCGCTTTGGGGTCCTTAGGGACTAGTAAAAGCGCTATACAAATACAGGCCATTTACCATTTACCTTCAACCCAGTTTCCAGTGTCACCTGCACAGCAGCCTCAAGCTCAGTTAGCCGCCCGGCCTCAAGCTCAGTCTCCAATTCCACCACAGTTGTCACCTCAACCATTAATTCAGTCACCCTCAGTTCAGCCTCCTGTTCAGCAGCCACTAGCCCTGCATCCTGTCTCACTTGCTCCTCCTATACAACAAGCTCAGTCAAATCAATCCGAAAGGAACTGTTTCATCCGTTCATTCTAAGCATAGAGACAAACCAATTAATAATGTAATCATTCCTCAAAAGAGACTGCGATGCACTCCAGGGCCTCCCCAGAGGATGTGTTTCAGCCCCCAGCGGACTCTGGACCCCTGGAGGTTAAGAAGCCAGCTGAGGACTGCACCCGACTGTCGCTGCCTAAGCGGGGTCAGTGCTCCGCGCAGCTGCAGTCTGCTCTGTGTTTGCCAGAGGCCTCCGTGCCTGCTGGTTCAGCCCTGTGTGTGGCAGGGGCCCCGGTGCCCGCTGGTTTTGGGACTGTTTTCGCTGCAGGGCCCGAGGAGCCCGTCCAGCCACCAGCAGCTTCATCCACGCCTGCAGCAGCAGCTTCATCCACGCCCAGCACCCCGTTTCTTATGATCTCAGGTTTGTCATTTAGTTTTCCCAGTTCAGGTTTCTCCACTCATTTGTCATTCCTCACTGCCTGTTTTGTCTCTCCGTTACTGGTAAATAAACATCACTAGCATTATCATCTACTGCCTGCATTTTGGGTCCTTTCTCCCTCCAACACCACACGGCTCACCTCGGCAGCCGTGACAGAAAGTCAATGATTACAGTAGTGTGGAATAAGCACAGCACAAATTCTATTCAAAGCAAAAAATAAAGAACTGCCAGGAAATATGCAGAGTATGTTTTTTTTGAAAGAAGGAAGTTATAATTTAAGGGGTTTTTGTAACTTCAAAACAGGGATGGTTTGTACTACAAGAAAAAGCTTTTGTGTTTCTGTGCATGGAGTGAAACTATGGAACAGTCTGAATATGGAATTAAAGCAACGTCCAAACATAAAACTGTTCAAAAAGAGTTATAAAAATATGATCTTCTCGAACTATAAAGAAAAGGAAAATATTGAAATTAAGTGAATGTCTCTATTTTAAAAAAAAAAAACATTAAAAAAATTCATGATGTGATATTATAGTATGTAGTAAATTAGAAATCTGTTCACTATTTTTATTACAAATTCTAAGTAAGGAAGCTGACTAAATATTAACTGATAATTTATGGTAAAGGGTGGGATTAAATAACTGTTTACTTCCTCCCTTTCAACATGTAAATTAATCAGAATGTTTTTTTTGTATGTATTTTGTATAGTACTTTTTTTCTCTCTTATTTTCTTTTCTAAATGTACTTGTATATTGTTCACATGTTGAAATAAATTACCAATCAATCAATCAAACACATGGGATGATCCATGATTTGGAGAAATTATGGTGATAGTTGTGGTTTAATGATTTGGAATAATCTCTGTTGACACCTGTCTCTGTGGCGCTGAGTGCTTTATTATTATGAGCTACAGTTGCTTGCAATTGTGAAGTTTGTTTTAACTTACAGAGTTTGTCTTACAGGCAATAATGATAGTCTGTTAAGTTGAACAGACTTAACATTTAACCATTGGCTAATGTTTTTCCTTAATACAGGGTTACAGGTTTGTAGTGCAGCTACTCCAAGGGAGAAGCACTAAGAATTTTTAAGTGAGAATGTGAAACTTTTTTGTGCATCTCTAATTGTGTGGAGTTGATGCATGGCAAGGACCATGAGGCAAAAGAGGGTTTTTGGGGAGTTTTCATTTTTTAAATTCCAGGTGGCATGAGGTGAAGTGGTGGAAGAAGAGGCTGAGATGCAGATGGAAGCTGAGACCAGGAGAGAGGCTTCAAGAGGATCAGTGAGGAGCAGAGACCACTTCCAGCACAGCTGACAACCCACAGAGGGCTGTGCCACTGGGCTTCCTAGAGCTCATCGAAAGGAGATTGTGGACAGCAGCAAAATCCAAAATAAAGTGAAAGAGGTTCAACGTTGAGGAAGACAACTAGAGTGTAAGATTTGCTCTACCCTAAACCTTCAGGGTAGAGCAAGAAACCGAGGGATGAAGGGAGCGTGCCAAGCTCCAAGCGACAGCGCAGAAGGAGATCAGCGATGAAATTATGATTCTGTAAACAGCACAGACACCAGAAGCCGTGACTGTGACGGGAAATGACTGACAGCAATTTCCCCAGGAGGATCACCTAATGCTGTTTCACTGTGCCCTGCAGACTTTGACACTCTGAAGAGGTTTCCTGTGTGTCATTGTTGTTGTCATTTGCTTCATGAGCACTTCTACAAAGCTGGCTGAAATTTTGATGACTCTATCCCCCCACAGGAAGAACGCCTGAAGTCAGGAGATGGGGGTTGATAGAGGCCATAAAAAGGAAGTGCTGGTTCAACCCACAGTCAGGGGGCTGCTGACCAGGCCTACAGCTTTGAAGATAGCTCAGAAAGCCACCTGGATAGACAACAACACCAACTGCTGTGTTTGCATGCCCATGTGTACATACACTTGGACTCTGGCCGTATGGACAATGATACGAATGGAGAAAGCGCTGCAGAACTCAATGACTCTGCAGAGGAATCTACACTGGCAGGAAATGCACCACAAGGCTGGAATGATTTTGGAAGTGTTAATTCCTCTTTTTGGACTGTTAACTTTCATTTGCTTACTTGTAGGATGCAGTTTACCATGTGTGAGATCAATGAGAAACAGGATAACTGCATTTATCAACTGTTTGCTTTTACAGTAATATGAGGTGAATGATAGGACAGAGGATTTGTGTAAATGATGCATGGTTGAATAATTTAAAGGACAAAAAGGACAAACAGGACTGTTAGGGTGATTTTGATAATAGTTGTCATTGTTGTACTTAAATTTGTAAACTGCATGTTGAGATATTTTTCTGTTCCTCCATCAGCAAGAAGTCACACAAACACACACACGTGCTTGCACATGCACACACACACAGTGCCTGACACACGACAGGGGTTTTACAATGGGTGGTGCTTGTGTAAATGGTATGCATCTCAATAAAAGGTGGCAAGCAAAGGCTGGGGGCGGAGTCGTCTGAGTCGAGTGCAGAGTTGCAGCTCTGAGATCCGACCAGCCTTCCCTTTCAAGTTAAATACCGTTTAAGCTGATGTCTTGCTTTCTTCACAGGTGATAAGTCTCTGAACCAGCGGGGCCTGCAAGCCCAGACCCAACATTTACATTTCTTCACTATTGAACAGCAGTTAGGCTTTTTAGTGACATCATCCTAAAACCCTCAAATATGGGTGACAATACTAAAAGGTCCTAAATGTGCTGGTGGCATCTCCTCCCACTAATCTGAATTAGGGGTGGGTTCTGATTATCGATTTTCTGATTACAATCGATTCCAGTTTGAATAACGCAATATCGATTCATTAAATCCTGAATCGATTTTTAAATATAAACATATTTTACCTGAGACACCAGAATCTCAGGTTAAACCTCTCAAATTTCCAACAACCACCAAACAGCTAAAACAGTAAATGAGAGCAGGAACACGGATTCTGCACAAAGACGTAAACACAAAGCTCGGACCCGCCGACAGATCAGGATCAGCGAGATGTCGACTTTCTCACCCAACGGCACGGACACAGTCGGGGCTGAGTCAGCTCAGTGATTCTGATGTTTCGGCGGGTCGAGCTTTGTGTTCACGTGCTAGATTCTGGAGCTGCAGGTTTTATCTCTCTCCAAACAACATTGACTGAACCAGCAGCAAAAGAAGATCCAAACTACAGATAAACATCGTCATGACTTCAGTCTGACTTTTCTGCTTTGCTTCCACCACGATAAAATCACACTTCCTGCACAGCTCTCTCTCTGTGTACTTGAAGAACAGTTTCCCATATGCTTGCTCATTACCAGTCTACCGTTGTTTACAGCGCTGTGGGCCGCTGTGGTTTTTCTTTTTACTTAAATGACTTCTGACAAGAAAGCCACATTTCTGCTGTTCAATACTGAAGAAATGTAAACTTTTTAAAATGATCACAAATTGCAAAACTCTCAGCTGTGTCTGTAATCAAACCTCTGTAACTTTGTTTTTCTGTTTCATCCTCAGCTACTTTGACACAAAGGCGTCTGCTGTGATGCTCACACCTCTGATCAAGTCTCAAACGTGTCAGCGTTGCTTTTATAGATATAAAAATATAGACATGTACTGATAAGTGATCAGAATTATAATATTTCTGACTGTCTGAGGCAAAATTTCCCCGATTCAAATCTAATCGAATTGAATCGATTTCAGAAATCAGTGACGATACCCAGCCATAATCTGAATACATTTGTTTACATGTTATTATTCTTGTATTATCAATAAAATTGAGTTCTCAGTGTATAAAAAGGCAACGGTGATGAGGTATGTTTACCTGGATTATCTGTCCCAGCAGTCCATCCTGTAGTCCAGCCCAGAGACAGCACAGTGTGTGAGGGAAGATGAGTCATACCAGAGAGGAAGGTGTGATGCTCCAGAGGTCCGATCTGCCCCCCAGGACCCGAGAAGATGTCTGCGTTGATCCACACAGGACGGTATGGCTCAGTTAGCACCTCCTGCAGCAGGACTAAAGATGTTGACACAGCCTCCATGCTATGTGGAGAGTATAGCTCAGCGTTAGCGTCACACAGACCCACACAGCATTGGTGGAACAGAACCTGCCTCTCACCTCTTAAAGTCCAGCTTTATCCCCTTGCCGTACTCTTTCACTCCCTCCAGCCATTCCCTCAGGGTGATGTCACTGTCTGTATCAGGGGGATGTGCCATGATTGGCTCTTTGGGATCACGACCTCTCATGACAATGTCAGCTTCAATCATAAGAGAAGGACCTGAAAAACAGTTGTTGCCTATTAGAAACCGACTCTTATCTTTCTTAAATATCATCCCAACGACAAACATCACTGAATACATCTTTTTATTTTCAGCCCAGAGGAGGTTAGCGCAGTATGACGAGCACACAGTCGCTCTGTGTTCAGCACGGCCACAAAGGCTCCTGATTTTACCTCCAGCTGTGGCCTCTGCGGGGAGTTTGTATGCTCTCCCTGTGCCTGTGTGGGTTTCTCCAGGGACTCTGGCCTCTTCCCACAGTCCAAACGTGGATTAAATGCTAGGTTAACTGGAAAATCTGGCTACGGATGTGAGGCGCATAAAGTCCTCAAAGTGCACACAATGTAGTTAAAATGTGACTTGCAATCTAAAGTTCTTTGGTTGGTCAGTAAGACTAGAAAAGTGCTTTAAAAAAAAGAATGCATTACATTACAGTGTCCAGATTATTAGGCAGACCTGAGATGAATCACAGCTCACACACCAGCCCTCTAATCCATGTTACATATCATGAAGCCTCCTTCCTTCACAATAAAATTACATTTTATTTATTCAACACAAAATACAATAAGGACACGCTGTGGAAGAGAGCCGGAGATTAATAATAACTACTGATTAAATGTATCCACAAATGGTGAGTAAAAACACTGAGTGCATCATGGGAAGCTCCCAGCAGCCCAGAGCCGCCGTTTGAGGAAGCAATGTGTTCCCATATTTCTGTAGAACAGCCAAAGATTATAATGCATTCTAATATTTTTACTCTAAAATTAGTATTTCTGTTGAAAAGTATGATAATTAACATGAGTCAGCGGGGAGAAACTATGATTTCAGCCTTTATCAGAGTGACGCTGCCATGGTTACATTAATGCGGTTGCTAATGTGAAGGAAGCAGAAACTTAACACGATCACGCAAAATAGTTTCAACCTTCAGGACTAACAAGGGCTGATTTAGACAAAATGACCTTTAACAAAATAAAATGTCAGGTGTTTGAATTTTCATGTTGACGTCAGCGGGACTGACAGCCACGTCACAGACTCACCTGTGAGCGCCTCCGCCAGCCTGCTCCTGCTGTTCGCTGCATGCGACCAGCTAACCTCGGCAGCGTCCATCCTCGTTATAAAACTCCGACTGAAGAAATAGTCCAGCGTTTGGTCACGCATCCCACCTGCGAACAGAACACGAGGGTCGCAGCCATTAGCTCCTCTCTGTCACAGTAAAGTGCAGCTCGCTAAAACAAGGGAGCGTAGCTGCAAAGCTCGACATTACCTGTTTTACCCTTTAAATTCCACAAGACATAAAATATAAAACACACGATTAAAATTAAAGTAATTCTGTGAAAACTCAGCAAAAGACTCGTTTTCATTGCCGACTTCCACGATCCAAAACGGAAGATAAATAACAACACATTTCCGGTCCGAGATTGTCGAAATAAAAGAACCGGTAGTCTTTTACTGATTCAATACAATATTTATCGAGATTTCTACGTTTAAAATCTAAGTGACCAAAGTGCCCCAATCTTTATTCTATTCGACGTGAGACAATAAAATATCAGCTCTAAAAGAAAACATCTCTAAAGTTAGAAATATCCTGTCTCAGAGTGACGCTGAAAAACGAGTTCATGCATTTATTACTTCCAGGCTGGACGACTGTAATTCATTATTATCAGGATGTCCAAAAAACTCACTGAAAAGCCTTCAGCTGATCCAAAATGCTGCAGCAAGAGTCCTGACAGGGACTAGAAAGAGAGAGCAGATTTCTCCTGTTTTGGCTTCCTGTTAAATCCAGAATTCAAAACCCTGCTCCTCACATACAAGGTCTTAAATAATCAGGCCCCATCGTATCTTAATGACCTTGTAGTACCATATCACCCTATTAGAGCACTTCGCTCTCACACTGCAGGCCCTGCCAGATTTCTGTCCACTCGAGTGTAGTGTGTTATTGATGGTGTTTTTGGTGACTGGGGTCCCAGCTGCATACAGATCTTTAACAAGTTCCTCCCATGTGGTTTTGGGCTGATCCAGCACCTTTCCTATAATCACCCTCAGCCCTGTGGTGTAAAGTGCTTTGAGTGCTCAAATAAAGTAGAAAAGTGCGATATAAGAACCAGTCCATTTACCACGAGGCAAGGAGCTCTCTCATATTCTGGTTCCAGGCTTCTGGAGGGCATCGCTGCAGCTTCCCACCCTCGTTATCAAGCACATTTGTGACAAAGACATTCTCACTCTCACTGACACGACAAGAAGATTTCGATTTATGTATCTGTGTATTTTCTATGTTTGGGGTTTTTTTGTTGTGTTTTTGTCTCTTACAGATGCAGCAGTTGGTGATACATTGTGGATTTCTATTTGCTGGTTCTGATAACATCTTCCCCCCTTGAAAATAAATTCTTAGTAGCACCAGGCAGATTTTTTTTATGCATTAGTTTTGTTTGCGTAATTTGCATTAAAATGTCTCATGACTCATTTAAATATTCTCCTACTGACAGTGTGATAGATTGATTATTAGTCAAAGCTTAGTGTAAAGTAAAGCAGTCGTGGTCAAAGGTGACTTGATTTATTTAGAAAAGAATGTAAATATACAAATAAGAGTAAAAATGTCCCATCAAAGTGAGGTTAAATAATGCTTCAACTGTAAACATACTCCACCAATCTCTATTAAACAGCCGTGTACCACAGGCCTTCAAGCTGGCAGTAGTTAACCTGTTGCTTGACCCAGCTGTCTTAGCTAATTATAGGCCAATCTCCAACCTTCTTTTATTAAAAAAAAAAAAAAAAAACCTTGAAAGAGTGGTTGTAAAACAGCTAAAAGACACACTGGTTCACTGGTTTTGAAAACCAAAAACAGGTGTGGAACAGGAGAGATTGAATAAAATAAAAATTGAGGCTGCAGGCAGCGATGAGGGTCCTGGTGCACGTTTGGATGTGCCACGGTCGAGCCACCCTACAGCTCGAGTGTGTGGCTGGGTCTGAGATGCACTGCAATGTCCTGCTTGTAGAAAACGGTTCTGAATTTCTGTGACAAACCTGCTACGTAGGAGATGACAGCTTTGTCTCATCTGTCGCTCAGCTTCTCCCCACTTGGTGTTTGACCTCGTTTCTTCTGCATCTTTGCTGAAGGCCCGATGAAATAACCACGTTTTAAGAACATTCGTTACACGCGTGTTCATTCTCCTTCCCTTTGTGACTCAGAAAAGTCACAGATAGAAAAACACTTAACCCTGCATACAGGTGGTTTGTAATTACACTCATACACAACAGCACTAACCAGCACACTACAGTTCCCCTCGCTCTATTCTCATGCTCAGTTTGAGCTTCAGATCATCCTGACTATAAATTACTCACACCTCCATGCAGTCACTTTTGTACACAACATATTTGCACACGTCCTTTACATTTGTAACTATATTTATGTTAGTATTTCTCTATTATTATCTCTGTTTCTGCACTCATTTTATGAAAGTGCTTGTTGAGTTGTTATAGCAGCAAACTTCCTTCTGGGATCAATAAAGTTCCTCAGATTCTGATCGATGCCGAGTTACTGCCATGTGATCGGCCCACATACTTTCCTTACCAAGCAGCTGAACGGGTCAGTCAGTGAGTAAATGTAGGGACAGCAGGGTACTTACTTGCCATCATGAGGAAAAATGTGCTCCGGAGAAACAGGTGGAAATGCATTTACTGTGCTGGACGTGTGAGCAGAGCACAGTGAACATTCAGGGCAGGACAGACATCTCTCAGTCAGTAATAATCTTTATTCCTTTTCCTCAGGACAGAACTGATTTAGCACCTAACCAAGGTATGAGGCAAGCAAGCCAATACAATCCCCATTACACAAGAAAACTAATTTAAAAGCCAGAACAGTCGGCAGTGTCAACGTAGCCACTTTTTCCACAAATCAAAACTTGTCTTTTTACATCTATAGATTACACAAATACTTATTATATATGCAAATGAATAGACAAAACTACATACCTGGGCTTACAATGTCACTACTAACAAAGGTATATCAACACTGAAATATTCTTCATAGTCTGCTGCATCCCATAGGTCTTCATCTGAAGTGTAGATTAGCATTGAAACGTAACAAGACCACAGCATCAAACAGCACTTGCATTAAGCACAGGGATACAGGAACTTTGACATATCTGTTGGCCAAATAAAAGGTTCACAATAACAACAAAAACACAGACCAGCTCTGAATGCAACTGTACAGATGAATGAAGGCATTGATATTTCTCCTCACGCTTCCTTCTGACCCACATTACAGTTCAGTCCGGCTCCACTTTAAACACACAGGTGGGGAGCAGTGACACAAGCTCTGCTGTATTCATTCTTGTAAGAAGCACGTCAGGTAAAAACGTCCATCTAGCACAGAGTCCTCAGCCCTCACGGTAAGAAATCTACAACTAATAACAATACACGTGTGTGTCATACAAAGTCAGGCTGTAGTTAGGCTGGTACACCTGGAGCTTAAAAACAAAGAAGCCAGTACACAGGAGACGAGCATACGACATTTTAGTACAGCTGGTATGTAGATTCAATTCATAACGCAAGCTTAGAAACTGTCGTAATCTTTCTTGTCTTTTTTGCCTTCGCCCTCGAAGCTGTCTGTGCCATCGCTGTTGTCACGGCGACGCTTCCGGCTGTTGCGGATGCTGAAGCGAGGGTTCATCTGCGGTAGAGGGTCCATTCCCAAAACTTTATGAATCTGACGGAACGCCAGCAGCCTAAGAGCAAACTAAACACACAAAGTTGGAGAACATGTGAGTCAAAGAGCAGAAGCAAACCTTTCAACAGCCTCGGAGGTGCACGTTTGGGGGGTTATTTACTCTTTGTGTGACCTGATCAACTACTTGGCAAAAACCTGACAGAAGGGCAAAGCCAGTGATTCCACTGGGGCACCAGGACGAAGGGAAGCAAGCCCGGGAATGCTGCAGGTGGATTTAACGTGACATCCACGCTGGAGTACGGTACAGAGTACGCTAGCAGGATCATCATGGGGTTCACTGCTGTCAGCAGGATGGAGGTCAGAAGACAGAGTTATTGGGAGAGAGTGGTGGGAGCAACGAGAGTCAGAGATGTTCCCTGGGAGTGAGCAGGATTGACAGGACAGCGTGCAGACGAGGGATAGAGCACATACTGGGTTTGTATTCATCTAATGGAGGACTGATAAGGAATGGGAAGGACAGCTACAGACAGAAGACTGAGAACCAGCTTCAGCAAAACAACATTGGCGAAGTCTGGAGAGGCCTCAGAACCATCTCGGGCCACAAACAGCAGAACTCTCTGCCTGGGGGGGATGTGAGGTGGGCAAATGAACTGAATCATTTCTTCAACAGATTTGATTCATCCATGAGGCAGTCTGCAACATCGGCTGCAGACTCACCCACCCCCACTGCTGCTGTTCCACCTCTGACACTTCACACGTCCTCTACTCACCCTGCTCACTCCTCCCCACCCCCAACAACAGCATCCAATACACACTCAACACAAGGCTCCAGCCTGTCTCTCTCAACCACCCAGGTTAGGAGGGAACTGAGGAGGATTAAAGCCAAGAAGGCAGCGGGCCCAGATGGCATCAGCTTGAGGGTCGTCAGGTCCTGCGCGGACCAACTGTGTGGGGTGATGGAGCGCATCTTCAACCTGAGCCTGAGGCTGGGAAGAGTCCCAAAGCTGGGGTGGCTGTAGCTCAGGTGGCAGAGCAGGTCAGCCACTAATCAGAAGGTCGGTGGTTCGATCCCAGGCTGCATCCTGGCTGCATGCCAAATGTCCTTGGGCAAGATACTAACCCCGTGTTTGCCTACTGGTGGTGGTCAGAGGGCCCGGTGGCGCCTGTGCCCGGCAGCCTCGCCTCTGTCAGTGCGCCCCAGGGCAGCTGTGTAGCTTGCTATCGCCAGTGTGTGAATGTGTGTGTGTGAATGGGTGAATGACTGAATGTAGTGTAAAGCGCTTTGGGGTCCTATGGTCCTATGGACTAGAAAAGCGCTATACAAATGCAGGCCATTTACCACAGCTCTGGGAAACCTCCTGTGTTGTACCAGTGCCAAAGACTTCACGCCCCAAGGACCTCAACAGCTACAGGCCGGTGGCTCTGACATCCCACCTGATAAAGACCCTGGATTGGCTGGTCCTGGCTCAGCTTTGGCACCTGGTGAGCTCATCACTGGACCCACTTCAGATTGTTTACCAGCCTGGCATTGGAGCCGATGATGCCGTCATTCACCTCCTACATCGTTCCCTCTCTCACCTGGAGACCGCTGGAAGCACTGTGAGAATCATGTTCTTTGATTTCCCCAGTGCCTTCAACACTATTCTTCCCACGGTCCTGGACTATCACCTCACTACATGGATACTGGACTACCTCACTGACCGACCACAGTATGTGAGGACTCAGGGCTGTGTGTCGGA